CAGTTGGTTGAGCTACTGCCTTCGGCTCAGGTCATGATCCCGGGGTCCTGGGATCGAGCCCCATGTCAGGCTCCCTGCTCAGTGGGGAGTCTGCTTCTCCTTCTCCCTCTGCTCCTCTGCCTGCTTGTGCTCTCTCTCTCTCTCAAATAAGTAGAATAAAAATCTTAAAAAAAAATTCTGTATTTAATGAATACTGAGTTTTCTTTTACTCAGCCAGTTGCTGGACTGATCATTCATTGATTCATTCAATAAAATAATTCATTCAATAAAAATATATGGAGCACATATTATGAATTATGTATGTATGTCCTGTTCCAATAAAAAGAAGATCACTGCAATTGCTATGGCTCTTTGAGAAAGATACACACTGAAAGAGGTATGATCTATGGTGATTCTCAAGACCACACTTGGAGCCATTTAACACCACACTGTAGAGTATGGCCACATAATCTCTAAGGTGTATAGTGTAAATGTGATAACAACTCTGGGGAGTTCCATAGGCTTTTTTATATTAAGATATAATATAATATAATATAATATAATATAATATAATATAATAAAATATAATATAACATACTATAATATAATATAAAAGTGGGACACTTGACAACAACTCATGAGAAAGAGATTTAGTTTAGAGAAGTTAGGATTTGTGTATTACATTATACTAATCATAATATGTTTCAGCACATTAACTAAAACTATCAAACTATATAGCATTATCATTTTGAGTAACATATTTAGAGCAAAATAATAGACATGACTGATTCTGAATTCATGAGGCTCTGACATTTACAGAGCTGCTTCCAAAGTTCACAACAAAGTTTTTGAAAAGTACATTCCTCGCCCAGGACAGCACCACCGCTACTCAATGAAGTACAATCTACACTTTTACTGAGTGGTCCCCACAAAGTACAATTGGTGGGGAGAGTCAACCATACCTCAAATACACACCGAATCCTTTTCTCTCCCCCATGCCTTTCTTTACCCCTTCATTTTTCTCTGCATAGACTATTCCTCTCAACTTTGCAAATTCTCACCTACTAAAATCCTACCCCTGACAGGTTCACCTCAAACACCAACCATCTTCAGGACAACAACTTTACTATTTAAAACCAAGACAATGTATTTTCTCTCTCATGTACCTCTTAGAATATTTTCTTTGTATTGTATTTTAATTATATGTGTCCTTATTCTACCCAGTTTTAAAGCTCCTTGAAGAACTGTGTCTTGTCTGTTTTTGCATCCTCCATAGTAAGAGCTAACACAAATCCTACACATTTGTGCTTAATACATTATTGAACTTACTCAAAGAATATCTAGGATTTCTTATATATTCATGTTTTATTTATTTAGGAGAGGATAATGGGATTTTGCATTTGTTTTTTACATCTAGCTCTCCCTCTGTCTATATCCATTTTATTAAAGTTTTACTTGCCTTTTACTTTTTCCTGTTGTGTCATGAAAAAATGTTTAAGGAGAAAGTTATCATGCTGGCCAATAGTTTGTTTATTCTAATAGCCCAAAAAGAGAAGTATTCTTGGTCCAGGGTGATTGCTAGGGAGAAAATGGGTCATATGCTTCTCTTCTGGAGAAGGATGAGAAGCATAAACTGGGAAAGAAACTTGTGAATGGCCCTTCTCAGATTAACTACTCAGTGATTCATCAAAACATAACTCATGCCTTGGCAAGTTAAAAGAAAAGATGATTTACATGAAAATTGTGACTTCTAGGTTATTTCCATTTGGATTTCATCAGTTTGCAAAATCCTCCCCATTACTATGGTGATGATGCATTCTTAGGTAGAATGTGCCCATTGACAGGAGCTGATTTATGTTGTAATCACTTGTAATGTCAATAATCAAACTTTATTATATAGGATTTCAAATATAATTGAAAATAAACTTTACAGATTGCTATTATTTACTTAAATAAATTTGCCAAATATTGGACTTTTCTAACATGTTTTTTAAAGTTACATAGTTTTAGATAAAATACTTCCTATTTGCCAAAATTCTTAGAGTCCACACAAGATGGTTGATACCCTGAGTCTTACTTAACTCCCTAACCTCTCTTCTCATGACTTCCTGCCTTGTTTCTTCTTCTCTAGTTGGTAAGTCAAACATGATTTTCTGAAAACACCACACTGTTTCACCTTAATGCTTTTGTTCATGTGTTCCCACCTTTCCCCTGGATGCTTATTCAACCTTCAAAACCCAATTCAAGTCTCATCTCCAGATAGTAAGTCTGCCTTGGAGCCCCAGCCAATATGGACTACTTTTATTTTTGCGTCTTTTGTCTTCTATCTTAGCTCTTACTATCACTTAATATGTTTTATTGTAATTCTCTGCATATTTGTCTTTATTTCCAATACAGCATAGATTTTGCTCACAGAAAGCCATAACTTACTTGGCTTTATGTTCCCATTTCCTAAAAGAGTACCCTTCTCCCCATAGGTCTTAAATTAAACTGTCCAAAAGCTCTTAAATAGATTTAGAATACCACCTGGCATATTCATCTTTTAAGAGACATCAAAACTGATGTGGTTAAAACTTAATGTAAGTAATATAATTTCACCACAAGAATATGTCTTCAAATTTAGAAAATATCTGATTTACATGATTAAGAAATATAATTTATGTTCCCTTTCATTAATGATACAATTTTCAGGTGTTAGTTTCTTGAAATAACAAAACAGTACTTTATAACTTTTGAGATAATTGTAGATTCACAAAAATTGTAAGAAATACAGAGAAATCTGTATGCCTTTCACTTACTTTCCCTTAGGAGGTCATCCTTCAATTGGCATTTAATTTTGCATCAAAATATACAAATACAGAATGCTAAGTTATTAGTCCAACAACCATCAAGTAAAATTCTGGTTCTCTTTTTCAAAAAATACTTTTATAAGCAAACTTAATCATCCTTACCAAAGAACAAAGAACACTGAAGAGGTTCTTCATAAAAAAAAAAAAAAATGGACAAGTCCACTACACTTGAGCCCCTCAGAAAGTTACTTTCACATTAACAGATGTTTATAATAAAGACAGTCATTGTTCATTACCACAAAATTATCAGATTATACTTTACTGACATACACAAAAAATTCTTTTCAGAATTTGAAAAAATCTTGTCATCTAGGTCTTCCCACTTTCTATTTTGAAGCATAGTGAACTTTTTCACACTAGTCTTAACTGGTTGCAAAGTGGGAAAATGGTTAATCGATTGATGAATTCTTTGAATATTGAGTTCCTGTTTTGGGCAAAGCAGAAAAATCCAGGGGTTTCCAAGCTAAATATACCATGTGCAATGCACTCTCAGAAATGGTTGGTCAAGGATTTAGTAACATTTGTATCATGTTTTTCTTTTTGTCACCTTCAAAAATCCTGCTTTATTCTTTGCTAAAATCATCCTTCAATCTTTTCATTCTAACAATATTTGGTTATAAAAGCATACATAGGGAACAACTTGCAATTTATGGACAGTGCTTGTTTCTTAGGCAAAGTAAATACCGGCCTAAATATTTTGCCCAAGATTTCAACCTCCTGCCTTGCTCTGTATCTTCTGCTTGTGACATACAGTACATTAGAATCCCTTCCCTGATACTTAGTCATTTTCCTCTGTGGCATGCCTATTAAAGACTATTATCCTGATGAGTCATTTTGTCATATGGTTTTCCAACAGGATTCCCTTGGGAGAATGGGAAAGGGTGGGGAGATATGACAGAGAGGTAAATAGAGTTGGAGAGCACAACAATCTGAAAGCCAGAAGCTTAGGTGTTGGATCCATCATAACTGGTCTCTGTCACTTTAGCATCTTATGTGTGAGTTATATAATCTCATATCCTCTGTTTTTCATCTGTAAGTAAGAATAGCAATACCTTCTTAGAGGACTGTTGTAAGAATTAAAGAAATAAAATACAAGAAAGTATTTTTAAATATGCCAATAAGTGGATGTATTTGTTTGTACCTCGAAGGCAAGGTAAAATATCGAATGCTTTCCCTATAGTTACCTACAGACCTTTCAAAAAAAATTACCTTTAGATGCACCAACAAAACATGTGTATTAGGGAAAAAGTTCTCTTGTCTATCAGTTACAAATTCCCTCAGTTATCCATTCTTTCTAGGGAAAAAAAAAAGCTTTTAAAAATACTGACGGATACTGGATATTCTCCCATCCCAGAGTAGTGATTTTGCTATTTTAAAGATAATGCGGATATTGGGATTAGACTTTCTTTAACACAGAATGTCAACACATTTTCCAAAACTGAATTTATCAGTTAAATGTAGCCAAGAGATTTAGTTTATCTAAGTGTCCTACAAAGGAGAAATAGTTTACCACTGTTTTTACAGATTGAGGCAAATCTGACATATTATTGACATATGCTATGGATTTAATTTAATACCATAGTACAGATGTGTGCTCTGATAAGTTTTTGTGAAATCTAGGCTAAGATAGAGTTGTTTCAATATTTATGGGGTTGAAAATGCAGAGTTAGCAAAGGAAGCATTTTAATTAAAACAATATTTTTCTTTATATGCTCAGAGTAAAATATAAGGGAATTCTTTTAAAGACTTACTACTTGTTTCAATATAGTTGCTGGGTTTTTAGGCACATCGAAAGAGATTTTTTTTCCAATTTTTAATTTTTTTAATTTTAATTTTTTTTAAAGATTGATTTATTTGAGAGACAGAGAGAGAGAGAGTAGGTGGGGAAGGGGCAGAGGGAGAAGGAGAAAGAGAATCTCAAACAGACTCCCCGCTGAGCGTGGAGCCTGACACGGGTCTCAATCTCACCACCCTGAGGTCATGACATGAGCTGAAATCAAGAGCCATTTGCTTAACTGACTGAGCCACCCAGATGCCCCCAGTTTTTAAAAATCTACTAATTTTAGAATGATCAGAAATTAAAACTCAATAGTTCTGATTTTCTCTTTCTTTCACCTAAATATATGTGACCCTTTAAATTTAGCGCTTTTTTTTTATTATTGTATGTTTTAGGTATCCTAGAGATAACTTCAGTGGAAATCGGAGTTGTTGCCGTCAAAGCCATTAACAGCAACTATTATTTAGCCATGAACAAGAAGGGGAAACTCTATGGCTCAGTAAGTATTCTGCTTTAGTTTTCCAAGTCTGCTGCAGTAAATCATTACCAGGGTTTTGGACTGTTTCCCTCAGACACTGAAGAGCTTTGTTATCATTCTATTGCTAGTAAATAGAGCCACGGTGGGCTGGTCACCAGAGTTTCAAGAGCTGGCAAAGCAGCTCTTGCAACTGTGTAATTTCCTCTGTTGTTCACCCATCAGTCTACCACACAGGCTGTTGCTGGCTTTCATCAGTCAGTGCTCTGAACTGTTAACGGGTCAGACTCTCACGGAAGCATCTGGTCAGATTGGCACGGGTGCTGCAGACAACTTGGAGAAGAATCATTGAAAACAAAGATCTTAAATTGCGTAGGAAACCATACACTGTGTATGTTTTAGAGTGGAAGATAAAACAGGGGCTTGGTATTTTGTATTCTGTTAAAATATGAGATGGGGAGGCAGATTAAAAAATTCACCATTTGTGTGTGCCTTCAATCAACTCCATAATTTTATTTACCTAGACAACAGTCATTAGTTCATTGATGCAGCTGGTATCCAGCCAATGCTTTGGGTACATACATCTCTGAGTTTCATAGCAAGGATTAAGGAATATCACTTCAAAATGTGTAAATAACCTATTTTGTTGATTAGCATAAGGACAATTGCACTGCCTGCCCAGAGCCGGCAGCTCCCAAACTTGATCACAATCACTGGGAAAGATTTTTTGATACATTAAAGTTGTGATAAGATCTAAGAATTTGCATTTCTAACACGGTTGCAGGTGTTCCTGATGCAACACTTTGATAACCCAACTTAAGAACCACTGGTCTGATTATAGAATAGTCTTGTATTTCATTTGTATCAGGTCCACTCATAACTGGGGAGTTGGGCATGCACACTGTGGGCTAGTCCCTTTGTCCGGGGTAACTGCCTTTTGCATGGCAGGGGGAGGGAGGTGCTTAAAGGAATTTTAAAATTTTCCATTATGTGCAGCTCTGCTCATAAGCCCAGAAGAGAAATGGGCCATTTTATTATTATTATTTTTTAAAGATTTTATTTATTTGACAGAGAGAGAGAGACAGCGAGAGAGGGAACACAAGCAGGGGGAGAGGGAGAGGGAGAAGCAGGCTTCCCGCCGAGCAGGGAGCCCGACGTGGGGCTTGATCCCAGGACCCTGGGATCATGTGCTGAGCGGAAGGCAGACGCTTAACGACTGAGCCACCCAGGTGCCCCAATGATGGGTCATTTTAAAAAGTGGTACCATTCAGGGGTTCACAGCATAATCACTTTTGAGGCATTTTTAAATTATTTTCTTGAATGAACATGCTTGAATCCCTCCTTAATCTACTATTATCAGAATCATTGGGTAAGAGGACCAGGTTTATATTCTTTGCAGAGATACTAATACACTTAGTCAAAACTAAAGCTTTAAAGTAAAGTCAGATCAACACGAATTTAAATTGAGAGAAAAAAAGGTAAACAATTTTAATTGCAGTAAAAGATTGAAATAACTTTTAATTGATAAAGTATATCTCTTTAAAAAGGTGATGTCAGAGAAATGGAGAATTCTTAAATGAACAGTGTCATAAAAATATTTAATAACCTTTTTCTTCTATCCCAAGACAACTTGCATACTGTGCCTATGCTTCTTACTAAACTCTAAGATGTATGAATAGTTTCACTGTTTCATCATTTCTGTATCTAAAGTAGATGCCCATTGCTTTCTATCATAGCACCCCCTTTTAGTTATCTGCAATGAGATTTATCAGAAATTCTCTCATGTGTTTATTGTTGACTGTCTTCCCCCAATAAATTGTGAGCTTAAATTGGACAGGGGCTGCCTTATCCCACACTATACCCTCAGCACTCAGATCCATCCAGATCATAGCCCCAAGACCTTTTCTTTTCTTTTCTTTTCTTTTTTTTGACTTTCATAAGTATGACTCGCCTAAATGCTGTAAACCCATAGATTCCTAGGTCCCTCCTCCAGAGATTCTGATACATTTGAGTTAAGGTATAAATACTAAAAAAACACCTGAGATTAGGAATCTGCTGCAGGTATACCTCACTTGAAGACATTGTTTTAGGGGCACATGGGTGGTTCAGTCAATTGAGCAAATGACTCCTGGTTTCAAGCCAGGTCATAATCTCAGGGTAATGAGTTCGAGCCTGGCATCAGGCTCTGCACTCAATGGAAGTCTGCTTGAGACTTCCGCACATGTGTTCTGTCTCTCTCTCAAATAAACAAAATTTTTTTTTAAAAAAGAGACATTACTCTATAAATTTATTTTGGAGAGGAAAAATAAGTATCTGCTGCTACTTTTCTATACACAGCTCTGTTGCAAATATAAAATCATCTCAAATAACCCCAATCCTCCCACAGTCTCTAAACTGCATCCCCTTTATTAGAATGAATATGATTATTCACATAAAAAAATCATCTCTGTTTGAAGCCATATAGTTTTAGACAAACTATGTTTGTGATGGTTCTGATAATGTTCGAAATGATGATCTAGTTCACAGAAACCCAAATACTTAAATATACACACATTCAGGAATTGAGAATTTAGTAAAAAAAAAATTTTTAAATCCCAAGGTGAGAAAAACTGCCCGGGAGAGGCCAACTAAAAAATCCCTACAATACTCTTGGTTTGGATTGGAAAACATAGAACCAGAAGAACAAAATCCTGTATTCCTTAGCTTCTTATCTGCTTTAGTGTGGATATAAGAGAAGAGGGACATTTCTTTTTTTTTTTTTAAGATTTTATTTATTTGACAGAGAGAGACACAGCGAGAGAGGGAACACAAGCAGGGGGAGTGGGAGAGGGAGAAGCGGGCTTCCCGCGGAGCAGGGAGCCCGATGCGGGGCTCGATCCCAGGATCCTGAGATCATGACCTGAGCCGAAGGCAGATGCTTAAGGACTGAGCCACCCAGGCGCCCCTGGAGGGACATTTCTAAAGCCAGAGTTTTGAGTTAGTGGTTACTCTCCATCAGTAACTCCAGAGAAAGTGGATTTATGGAATGAAGGAAACATCAATTCTTGTCCCAAAAATCCCCTTAAAACACATGGCCACTTGAAACAAAGCCAAAGGACTATGGCTATAGAGTGGAATTTCCCAGGATCAAAGTCTCAGGTTTATACAATAAAGGCAGTGATAGTCACCATGTTTGTAATTTCTTTGATATGGTAATTCACAAAGCAAGGCATTCCATGTCCTAGTTTTCAATCATTTCTAGACCTCAGAGTAAATCTATTAAAATTCCAAGTTATGGAAAATTGTATATTATCTACCAAAATAGAGAAATCTAGTATTTGTAAAAAAGAAAAACATCCCCCCCACCCCTCCCTGGCCTCTTGGTTATCTACAACGATTATGATTTTGTTATAAGATCTGCTTTCTTACCAATGTGGGTGTATTTATTATAGATTTATAGGTAAAGTTTGCAAACTTGGTAAGCCCAAGTTTTTTCTGTAATTCTATTTTCCCCATGAGACCCCTGGTCATTACTCTGAAAAAAAAAAAAAAAGGATTATAACATTATTCTTTATCATTGACTCATCACAAATACTGATAGTGGAATCTTTGCTTCTTGACAATCATTCTAGGCACTTAAGCCATGTCATATTCAAAACACACCAGCTTTTTAAAAGGGCCCTAACATGTGGTTATGATGATCAATTAAAGTGAATCATGAGCCTTCAAACACAGAACCTGTTTTGTGGTTGTGAGTTCTACTCTTCTATTGTTGACACTATTGTGCATTTTGTGCACAACTTATGTACAAATCGCAACAGCAAACAAAACTCTTGAACTGAAATTCTCTGGATGGTGTGTGTCAAATGGAAGTAAGTATCATCATCACCAGAATAAAAGATCTTATTTTCCCCTTGCAGAAAGAATTTAACAATGACTGTAAGCTGAAGGAGAGGATAGAGGAAAATGGATACAATACGTACGCATCCTTCAACTGGCAACACAATGGGAGGCAAATGTACGTGGCATTGAATGGAAAAGGAGCTCCCCGGAGAGGACAGAAAACACGAAGAAAAAACACCTCAGCTCATTTTCTTCCAATGGTGGTACACTCATAGAGGAAGGCAAGGTTTGTGGATGCAGGAGAACCAAAGGTTCTTTTGCCAGGACTAGTTGGTATTCTTCATGAAGACAGTAGCTCAAAAGGCAGAGACACACCGCAGATGTCAGATGTCTGCTTGCTTGAACGAAAAGAAGTCTTTGAAGGTTTTGTACTCACTGCTGACATATGATGTTCTTTTAATTAGTTCTGTGTCATGCCTTATAATCAAGATATAGGCAGAGTTACATGGGATGGAAGTTATTCCTAAGCAAACAACATTGTGGCCGGGTTTTTGGAGAAGTTTTTGTTTCTGTTCTTGTTTTTAAACCTCTGAGCTAGAACTTAAAGGACATGGAACAATCTGTTGGATCTTCAGGAAAGTTATTTATGGAATACGAACTCATATCAAAGACTTTCATTGCTCATGCAAGCCTAATGATTCAATGAGCAGTAAGACACGCAAGCATTTACTGGAAAGCACTTGGGTCACATCATATGCACAACCAAAGGCGCTTTGGGCGTGGCATCATGGAAGAGTTGGATAAGAATTTAAAAATGTAAACATGTTAGTGTTAAACTGTTCTAACAAAACAAATAGTACGGTATGCTTGTGCATTCTGCCTTCATCCCTTTCTATTTCGTTCTAAGTTATTTATTTAATAGGATGTTAAATATCTTTTGGGGTTTTAAAGAGTATCCTCAGCAGCTGCCCTCTGATTTACCTTTTCTTTTTCTTCAGCACACCACATGCATGTTCATGACAAAGTGTTTTTAAAACTTGGCAAACACTTCAAGAATAGGAGAGGAGATAGGGAAGCAGGGTGAGAGCCCCATGTGCTATGAGTTAACTTAATATCACTCCTGCAATAAGAACCATCCACAATAAATATGACAGTGTTGTGGCATGGCTTGATGAGAGATATCTGCCATCGTTTAAAAACATCGATCACTCCTAAGGCTTCCTTTCATAAAAAAATAGACCAGAAGGCCAAATTCTTCTCTTTCAAACACCAATGGGGCTCTAAGAATATACTAAAAGAAGGAAAATTGTTAAATTTTAGTAGCCCAGCCTCATTATTTACCAACGATTTTTTGCCGTGTGTCACGGTAGTAAGTGATGAAGAGGCTGTCTGCATATGTAAGAACCCTCTATAAGTCCCACAGAGTGCATTTCCCCCAAAGGAATTATCAAGGAATTTGAAGTGTAACTCTCCCAGGGGCTTAAACTGAGCAAATATATCCTTGTATATGTGTAACCATATACTGAAACCTGTTCGAGCTGTATGATCTAGTCTTTACAAAACCAAATAAAACTTATTTTCTGTTGATTTAAAGAGCTTTGGAAGATTCCATCATGTAACCATATCAAAATTCATTTTGTTAGAGCAGGTATAGAAAACAATACATAAGAGTATACCAGTCATCATCACATTGTATTCCAGTAAATAAATACATAAGCCTTATTTGCAGTGTCTGTAGTGATTTTTTTTTAAAAAGTGTAGAAAAATACTATTTGTTTTAAATACTTTAAGTGATAACTATAAGATTATATTGATGCTGCAGTTTTATCTTCATATTTCTTATTTCAAAAAGGTCTGTTTATTTTTATTGTTCGGACACAGTATTTTGGTACAAGGGAAAGAGTCACTAAATGTGTCTTTTTACTAAAGTTTAACAAAGGCTGGTGTTTTGTGATCCTCTCTTATAACTTAATTGTGTCAATGCTTAACCAGCACTTCCAGTTAATCTGTTATTTAAGAATTAGGTTTATTAAGAAACTTTCCCATAAAGTCATCCCATAAAAGATCTTATTTTTTTTTCATTCCTTAAAAAAGTTGGGATTTCAAAAGATACACATTTGAGGCAGAGAGTTTTGGCTTATGGCTAAAGTTGCATTTGATGGCACTTGGCTTCCAACTTGCTTCTTAACAAATCAGATTCTAAAAATGTTTAATTTTTGTGGTTGGAATCTGCATGTGAAAATGTAATTGGTAACTGAGTCTGAGACCTATAATGTAATGTATTGCTATCAGAACTAGATTATCTTTGTTCTTTTATTTTAAAATAATAATTGCACCTGACACACGAACACAGACCACCCAAAACCAAAATTAAATGTTGGTGAGACAAATATAGGATTAGATGACTGCATGAACAGCAAACAGGGCACAAACTGGATTCGTATTTCACATAGCCATTTAGATTACCAAGGAGACTATGTGTAAACAGGCATCATTATCAGACTCCAAACACTAAAACAGCTTCTAGCAAAATATATCAAAGCTTGCAGAAGCCAAAAATAGAAAACATCTCCCTCACCCCCACCCACACCCCAACACCGCGCACACACACACACACACACACACACACACACACACACACACAGATAAGGACAAAAACAGTCTGGTAAGGAGAAAGGAGATTCTCCTGCATTTAAAAACGGCATCTTGCTTGATATTGAAATAGAATTCTGGTCCCCTTTGCAGCTGGATTGTGCTACTGAAGAAAAGGCACTTCCAGCCCTGAATATTGTATGTTAAAAAAAAAAAAAAAATCATGATGATTTTGGGAGCTCAACCTCTGCGGGAAGTGTGGCCCCTGGCCATGATGTCAAGGTGTGTCAGCCACAAATGTGTGTCCATCTGAGTGTTGGTTCTGAGGAGACTCCTCATAAAGATATAGAATCCCTCCCTCCTCCTACCTCCCAAAAGGCTGAACAGTGTATAGTATGTTACATTTAAATAAATCAATAAAAATGCTGGGAAAAGAAAATAAAAATATTGTCCTTGTTTGTTTTATTAGCCTATACATAACTACACCTGGTAATAAAAAAAAAGAAGCTCAAGTGCTCTTGCATGGCAGGATGTGGTTAAATACTCCACAGTCCCAAACAACAACAAAAGAAAAAAAAAATCACTCAAACATTTGTAAGTTTTCTTTAATGTTTTACATGTGTGAGTCAGCTACCCTTACTCTAATTAAACAACCAAATGCTTTAGATGTTTCCTAAGTTTTCAGGTCCACCTAGTTTACACAGTGGATAAAGAAGGATGAATTGAAAACAAGGATGGCTTGTGAAACAATGAAAGACTTTTGGAGGAAAGCCAGGAGGCTGCAAACTCTGATTTCAAGAGGAGAGAGTAGGCCAATGAATTTGATTTGAGAATTAGAGAGAGAAAAGTATATAGTTATGCAAACTGGGTCCAGGGCCCAAGCAAGGTTTTGGACACTATCCAAATTGATCAGTATTAATGCTGCAAAATTCCAATAATTTGGATGTTGTTAATTCAGGATTTATGATTATTCAGCAAAAATAAAATTTACCTTTTCCTTATCAGTGAAGGCTGTAGCTGGTCCAAACTTTGTTTAAATAAACATATCTTAGGAAACCAAGAAATACTTACAATACGTGGTGCATTAGAAGTAACCCATTTAAGGGTTGCCTGGGTGGCTCAGTTGTTAAGCGTCTGCCTTCGGCTCAGGTCATGATCCCAGGGTCTTGGGATCGAGCCTTGCATTGAGCCCGGCATCGGGCTCCCTGCTCCGCGGGAAGCCTGCTTCTTCCTCTCCCACTCCCCCTGCTTGTGTTCCCTCTCTCTCTCTCTGTCAAAAAATAAATAAAATCTTAAAAAAAAAAAGAAGTAACCCACTTAATGCAAATACCATGTTGATTAAGAATTCTTATATATTTCACTCGACAGGACTTTTGCAACTTAAGCAAAGCAGTTAAGAAAAAAAGGGGAGTAACTTTTAAGGATACTGGAAAGAAATGGGCAGGTCTGAATTCCACCAGAACTGGGACATGAAGCAACTAAACTCTGCCTCCTCCCAGCACTCATTTCTTCTTACCTGACTGGCTTTATTTGCTAGGCCCCTGCTTGCCACCGATTTACATCTTTACAACTCTAAAAACCCAAAACCTCTTTTTCTCAAGATCCCCAGATGGAAACATCCTAGGTGTGACTGTTATTGGCCAGGAGTGGATAGCATCCCAACCTCTAGAGCAAACAGGCTGACAAGCCATAAGGACATTGGGATTGGCCAGGTTTCAGTCACATGACCACAGAGCTACAAGGTACAGATTTTGACAGCCCACACACTTGAAGAAATGAAGAACAGTGTACCAAGGAAGGGCAGTGCTGGACAGATCAAAAACAAATATGGTTCTTAGTTACATCTATTTAAATGAGACCGCTGCATGGAGCACTGGGTGTTATACGCAAACCATGAATCATGGAACACTACATCAAAAACTAATGATGTCATGTATGGTGATCAACATAACATAATAATAAAAAATAAATAAAAATAAATAAGACCACTGACTTAAACATATACCCTTTTTCAAAACACATATCGTCTACTCTTACATTTTTCGCTAATTCTAATTAGCCTTCAGCTAATTTGTTCAAGTCAGAGACATCTCAAGATGTTTTTCTTTTATGTATTTTTTATAAGGGAAAGATTGTATTTGTTTTGTTTTGTTTTGTTTTGTTTTAAAGCCAAGAGAAGGGCTCTGAATGTAGCCAGGATCACTATAATTCTGCAAACTTTATGGAATAATAATCGAGATGAATGCAAGTTTTCACTAAATCAAAAGGTAATACTGCTAAATATCAACCTATACCATAACGACATCAAAAGTATTTCTTTACCTCAAAAGTATGTACCAGTATTTTCAAGTATATCAACATGTAGACAAAATCTGCAACTCAAATGCCATTCATTTTTTTAAATGTAGAATAAAAAAGAAAGAAAAAGAAAAAAACCCGCTTTATGTCTTTTACTATGTCTTGTATACATTCACAATGAGACAAAAGAAAACTTTGTAACATGCATTTCTCTTTCGCTGATTAGAATAAAACACAAAATGCCCTTGCAAGTGAATAATCTACTGAAAACACCTTTACAAACGCCATGTATTAGTTAAAATGGAATAATCATGATCAAACTAATGAGATCAAAGGAATTGGTCTCATTCCTAAGTGGCTAATAATGAATATTTCCATGTGGCTGCTGCACGGTATCAGCTAAGGGCAACAATTCTATACCCAAAGACAACAGCCATATGTCAACCATATATGCATGTGGCATGTATTATCTTACACATTTTTATTATCCTCCACAAAA